CAGGACGATATCCTGTGGCCCCCACCGTGATATGAAAGTATAATATTAGTGCGTTCTCCATGCGTCGCTAGCTGGCTAAACACTTCTATGTGCGGCCCAGCCTCACCCAGACTCTGCCTCCAGCGGCCCCCAGGTAAATTGTGTTTGAGACCCCTGATCTAGAGTGATTTTTGCCAGTTCTAATGTAAGCTGGAATCCCTTCCTTCCTTCCTTCCTTCCTTCCTTCCTTCCTTCCTTCCTTCCTTCCTTCCTTCCTTGACTCCAGGCAGATGCTTGGACAAGTCCAAGTCCCTATATTTTCCTTGGCAAGGTTTCTCAAAGTGGTTTGCCATTATTTCCTTTCTAGGGGTGAGAGAGTAACTGGCCCAAAGTCACTTTACTGTCTTCATGCCCAAGGGGGAAATATAACTCAAGACTCTCCTGGTTTCTAGCCTAATGTCTTAAGCACTACACCAGGGGTATCAAACTCAAGGCTTGGGAGCCAGAGCCAGCCCACAGGGTACTTAGATCTGGCCCACGGAGCTGCCCTGGAAATGGCGAAGGACCAGCCTGTGGTGCTTCTTCCAGCAAAAACAGGCTCCTGAACTCTGTTTTCACTGGCAGAGAGTTGCAGGAGACTATGGCAGCCAAAAACGGAGCTCGGGAGCCTGTTTTCGCTGGCAGAGTGCTCAGGCCACTATAGGTACCCTTGATAGGAGTGACGTTGAGCTGGCTACCCCCACCCTGGCCATGCCCACCCTAGCCCCCCGAGGTCAAATGCAACAAGATCAATGTGCAGCAGGCACCTGGAGGGGCAAATGACATGGGTTTTGTAGTTTGTTAACTAGCATAGCTACTTTGTATTTTAATTTGATTTATTTTCTCTCTTTTAAAATGATGTTCAGGTTTTATTAGCTTTTCACATTCCTAAACTGATAAACAAGGTGAAGACTAGTTCAGATAAGAAAAAGCTTATTTGTACAAATTTGGTCTGTTTTATCTCTTTTGTGAACTCCAAACAACTTTTCCCTTACAATTACATCCCTTCTGACGTCAGACCTCATTTTAATGAACGTGTGTGAAAGCATGGGATGCAAATATGTAACACATTTGAATACATGATGTAACTGATTTCCTGTCAGCCCTGAAGCCATTTTTTATGCTGAAGCCATTTTGGGAGCACCTTCGGGGCTGCCACAGCCAGGCTGGTTGGAGCTGTGAGAACTAAAGTGGGGAAATGGAGATAACTGGGGATGTATCCAATCTTGTAACTGGCTATTGAAGTGATAGGCATAAAGGTTGCTAATTGTACTCGGTAAATGTACAGGGTGGTAATTAGTTGGATTCCTATCCCTCCCCATACTTCTTTTTTTAAATATTGAGACAATAATGGCAGTATTTCAATCTTGGAGAAAACAAAGCTCTTATAGTGCATGCTGGCATTTTTTTTAAAGCAACTACTGCTACAACAACTGCTTGTTGTGCCTGCATGCATCCAGATTGCAAGTGTTGCCAAAGCATCTTGGAACAGACTTTTATTAAGTTATTTTAGAGCCAAGATGGCATGAGCATAATACAGCAACATCTTAAGCAATGAGTGCAAATGTAGCTGCATCGACTTTTGAAGATGAAATGGGAGCTTTAAGGTTTAAGGCAGGGGTGGGATTCTACCAGTTCGCACCTATTCGCTAGAACCAGTTGTTAACATTCTAAGCAGTTCGGAGAACCAGTTGTTAGAAGAAATTACTGGCCTAATCCTGTAAGGAAGGCAGGAAGGAAACATTCTGGGGTTGCTTACAGAAGCTGCCTCTCCGTTAACCTTTATTACATTCTTGGCAGGACTGGACTTCCTGTCTCAGGAAAATCTCTTGAGGTTTTCCCCCCTCCTTTGCTGGTACTTTGCTTGTGTGGAGTGACCTTTCAAAGTTACAATGGCACTGAAAAAAGTGACTTATGACCATTTTTCACACTTACAACTGTTGCAGCATCCCCACAGTCATGAGAGGCCAGGCAAGGAGATGCGTGCCTCGATGTGAGTGATGTTGAGTTGGCCACACCCAGCCAGTCACATGACCATCAAGCTATGCCCACCAACTAAGCCACGCCCACAGAACCGGTTGTTAAAAAATTTGAATCCCACCCCTGGTTTAAGGCATCTGTTTTCTTCTTTGTTTTCTCCCTTATCACCACCGCTACCATCCTATAAAAAATGCAAAGAAAAACAAGGTGGGGGCAGTTTTGATGTTGTCTGCATCTAAAATCATCTGTGATTCTGAGGGGGTTACAAGCGTCTGGACATGTGGATTGCAGGTTGCCCGTTCCTGGTTTACAACAGGTCAGTCTTTCTTGGAAGAAGTATTCATAATAAAAACAACATATAGTATATAGTATTTGTTAGCTATTTATCTACCTGGGATCTTATTCCGTTAAATTACTGATATTTTCCACCTCTTCCTGCATCATATGCCAAACTGATTCTGTACTGTTGTGTTCACTGAGCTTAGTTTTCTTCTCGCACAAGTTTCATTACCAGACTAAATAACATCATCTGGGTGCAGCTTCTCATTGCAAAAGAACTCCAAATGACTTACCTTTGAGAATATCACATCCAGAAATTAGCAAGTCAATTAAAACATAAAGAAGGAAAAGAATACAAATGAGGATACCGATATTATTATTTTTTTGTCAAACGAATACATCCTTTGATCTTATATGAAGTGACTACGGGTAATAAACAATAAAAACCACATATTAAAACATGCAGTAAAACCAATTAAAATAATTAAAACAATGAACAGAGATTAAAAACAAGACCACAAACAGGAGAATATTAATGCAACCAACAAGTCAGATTCCTATTACCAGGGGATTCCCTGATTTGCTAGAAAAACCTGTTTTAAGAACTTCCTGAAAGGCTGTGATGGTTGGAGCTAACCTCAATTCAGGAGGGATAATGTTACAGAGGGCAGATATCATAGTAGAAAAGGCTCACTGTTCAAGATCCCTTCAGATGGAACTTTTTCGCATATGGGTCCTGCAGCATGCCTCTCCTGCCAGACGTGACGTGATGGGTAAATGTGATCTGGAAGAGTCCCTCAGATAACCTGAGGCCATTTTTATTTATTTTATTTTATTTGTTTGTCAAACATGTACAAGATAACAAGTATAGGTATGAATATAAACATGAATAAAAGAAGTAAATACAGATTAAATGAGGACAGTAAGACAGGGATGGGCCAGCTTAAGTGCATGCCATGTAGGGCTTTAAAAGTCAACACCAGCATTTTGAATCCCTTCATTCTTAAAACAATTCAACTGTAGAGCTAGTTTGGTCTATTGTTAAGGCACCAAGCTGGAAAGGCTGTGAGTTCCAGTCCTGCCTTAGGCATGAAAACTAGCTGGTGACTTTGGGCCAGTTACTCTCTCTCAGCCCAGTCCACCTCACAGGGTGGTTGTTGCAGGGAAAATAGGAGAGTTATACCTTGAGTTATTTATAAAAATAATAAAGGTGGGATAAAAAACATCTTTTAAAAATCATGTTCTTCTATATGGGTTTGCTTTTTGAAAGCTATTTTTTTCCTGACATCTCATTTAAAGCAAAAGCAATCATGAACAAATTCAATACATGGGAGGGGGAGATACATCAAAAATTGGATGTCCATGTTTCATAGATGCCTGGAATATTCCAAACCTGCTTTAAAAATAAATGGAAAATACCAGCACTATTGCTACTAAGGTGAGGACTATATAATAACTTCAACCATACCGGAGGCAATTTTTATTAAATGTTGAACAAGGAAATTTGATCAGATTCTACAAACAGGTTATGAAATCTAAGGAGAAGACAAAAAGGACAATTAGGAATATATATCTTACCATCATGCTGTCATTTACTCCTTTCAGCTTCTAGATTATGGAGTAATTTCAAGGTAAAGACAAAAAAAATGTTTTTAAGCTTTACCAACATGGCATTTAACGTCTGGTGCAAGAGAGCCCCAATTCAAAGATCCAGCTTAAAGCTTAGAAAATACTTTATTAAATAGAACTGTGAAATTGAATAAAAGAAACCTAGAAAAATAGAAGCTCGGTGCCTCTTTCTATATAATGCAGTGAATGAATGGAAAGATGAAAAATCAGTCATGCCTAGAGATGGGTGATGCAAACTTGGTGACATTATTATACTCAAATAAATTACCATTATAGTTCACATATTTTATACCAGTTAGTAACCACCTGGTTAGGTCCAATGCTGTTCCAAAATCTACCTTGTAGTTTCTAAGTTTTTTTCTTTTGTGAAAAGAGGCTTCAATATTCCTGTCTTATTTCCAGGATGCTTTCAATTTTGGGGGGAAATGTTGAGGATTTATTTCGTCTGTGGTGCTGTTCTTTTATGTTGCATGACTTTCCATTACTTCCTAGACGCCCAAACTTAAAATAATTCTTCCCACTGATATTTTTAATCAGGTCTTCTCTAGGTATTTAATCAAAAATGTGGATGGCCAGAGATATACAGGCTGCTAGATTGATGATATAATAAGATATAAGATATTCCACAAGTCTCTTGACCATCAATAGATAATTAATAACATCACATGAGAAGTTTATTAAAATTCTCTCTTGAAGACTGCTGAAAGCAAATGCCTTGTCATCATCAGATTTTATCCAATATCTCTGTGGAATATGATGCCGCTCCCCAAAATGCAGGATACTGACATGTCTATCTTGCCACAGAGCAGCAAAACCTGGTGTAGTGCTGGTGGTTTTACTGGAAGATTGGCAAGAAGGAATTAAATAGTGATGTGCCTTTTGCATAATACTTGCATTCCTATCTAATTGTTGAAAGCATATTATAGAATTCGGCAATATATTTTAGTAAACTTGGGTTGTAATTTTTTGACCTGGTCTTGGTGGAAAATTTGTGTACAGTAGGACGATCCTTTTCACTGTCAATCCAAAAACCTTGGGAAAAAGGTACTTCTTTATCCTGAGATGGTCTCATTGCCATAAACAAATACTGAGTAATGTTGGCTCAGAGCTTATATAAATGAATCAAAAAAACCCATGAGATGGAATCTGGATGCAGATCTAATCAGAAAAGTGCTGCATGTTTGCTAACTTGGAAGGGGTCTGCCCACCGCCATTTCTCTGGGGTTCACTGAATTGGAGAAGAGGAGTAAGGTCCTTGTCTTTTTGTCCTCTTTAGTATTTTTGAATGTTTCTTGATTGCTGTCTCGTGTCAAGTTATTGTGTACTTTCTTATGCTGCTTTGGATTAAAGTCTTAAGTACCTATCCTATATGATTGCTGCTTCTGAATTCAAAACAAACCCATGACCAAATTCAAATAAGCAATGTACTGGGCTATTTAGGAGAGGAATGGAATCTGAAGACTCCATAAATAAGATGGGATGGAATAGATTATTTTAACCCTTATTTTTATTCTGTTATTCTGACTTAGGTAATACTGTTATATTATTGTTGTTATTATTATTACTATTGTGGATTGAGTTTTATTATTTGGAAGTTAACGACCAGAGTCTGAATAGGATATAATTTTTAGTGAGTAAATAAATAAATAATACCATAACTAATGGAGAAAATTGGAATGATCACTGTTACAGTGGATATAAAAAGTCTACACATCCTTGTTAAAATGCTAGATTTTTGAGATGTAAGCTGCTCAGAGTTGCCTGAACTATGAGGGAGGTGGCAATTAAATTTGATAAGTAAATTAAAAAAAAATAGACAAGATAAATCACTTCAGAATACTTTTCTGTCTTTAATACCACATATAAGTTTTACAATTCAATTAATAACAAACTGGATTTGTTAAGGGAGAAAAAAAGTGTATAATAATGTGGTTGCATAAGTGTGCTCACCCTTACACCAATACGTTGATGAAACGCCTTTTGATTTTACGGTAGCATTCAGTCTTTTGGGATAGGAGTCTATCAGCATGACACATCTTGATTTAGGAATCTTTGCCACTCTTCCTTGCAAAAGCACTTCCAATCTGTCAGATTGTGAGAGCATCTCCTGTGCACAGCCTTCTTCAGGTCTGGGCTCTGGCTGGGCCATTCCAAAACTTTGATCTTCTTCTGCTCAAGCCATTATTTTGTTAATTGGGAGGTATCTTTGGGTCATTGTTGTGTTGAAAGGTGAAATTGCTCTACATTTTCAGCATTTTAGCAGCGGCCAGAAGATTTTGTGCCCAAACTGACTGATACTAGGAACTGTTCATCATTCCCTTCACCTTGATTGAAGCCCCAGTTCCAGCTGAAGAAAATCACCCAAAGAATAATGCTGCCATCACCATGCTTCACTGTGAATATGGTATACTTTGGTGTTGTTTTTGCTCCAACTTTTTGGAATTATAGCCAAAAAGTTCAACCTTGGCCTCATCAGACTATAAGACATCTTGTCAGATCTGATGTAGATTTTTGCAAACGTAGCTGGACTTGGATATTTTTCTTTGTTAAAAAGTAAAAAGGCTTCCTCAGCCCAGACATAAAGAATACAGGAAATTGTCGTCCCATGTAGTACAGAAGCAGTATGTGCCAGAAATTTCTGCAGCTCCTTCAATGTTGCTGTAAGTCTCTTGTCAAGCTCTGGACCTGTTTTCTTCTTGTTTTTTCATCAATTTTGGAGAGACAACCAGTTCTTGGTAGTATCATTGTTGTGCCATATTTTCTCCATTTGTTGATGACTGCCTTCACTGTGTTCCATGGTATATTGATTGCTAACTAGGGCATACAAAACCTTTGCTAGACCAACACTCGAATACAGCTCATCTGTCTGGAATCCGCACTGTATATCAGACATTAATACAACTTAGCGAGTCCAGAAGTATTTCACGAGAAGAGTACTACACTCCTCTGCTCGCAACAGAATACCCTATGTCACCAGACTTGAAATTTTGGGCTTGGACAATCTTTTTTTTTTTAATTGATTTTTTTAAAAACAAACATAAACAGACAAAACATAAAAACATCAACCTTTCTTCCATGAGTATACAAGCAGTGTGTCGATTGGTTTACAAATTTTTTGTGCATCCATTTCATAGTCATCAATTATAGTTACGTTGTATAATAACTCATATTCTTAATCAGAAATTAAATACCCTAATATCATTATTATTCAATCATTTGACAATAATTTTATTCATTCATATTTTGCAAGATAACTATAATTTACTTAGTATCATTTTGTAACAATTCATATAATCTTCCCAAATCTACCCTAAGAATTTTTTATAGATATAGTAAAAAAGAAAGAAAAATACATCTTTATATATTTATTATTTTCTAAGATTCTACGTATTTCATTATTGTATTTTATTATCTAACCATTGATAAAAAAGGTCCCAAATTTTATAGAATTGTTTATCCTCTTGCTCTCTAATTTCAAATGGCAATCTACTCATTTCAGCACATTCCAATATTTTCTTAATGATTTCCTCCTGCAATGGTATTTTCTCATTTTTCCAGTTTTTAGCAAATATAATCCTAGCCACTGTTAATACATTTACAATCAGGTATTTCAAATCTTTGCTATATGTATCAGGTAAAATTCCCAATAAAAACATCACTGGTTTCAAATCTATATGTTTTTTTGTCATTTTTTCCAACCACATGTGGATTCTAGTCCAGTATTTTCTAGCATCCGCCCAAGTCCACCACATATGGTAATATGAGCCAGGTATCTGATGACATTTCCAACATTTTTCAGATTTGTTCTTGAACATTTTTGCTATTCTTGTTGGGGGAAAATGCCACCTGTAAAACATCTTATACAAATTTTCTTTATATGCTGTTGACATTGTCATTTTATAATTTTGAGACCACAATTTTTGCCATTTCTCTAAATCAATCCCATATCCAAAATTCTTCCCCCAAGCAATCATAGTTTCTTTAACTTGTTCTTCTTCTAGTTTAGTTTCTAATAAATATCCATACAATTTTTTAATCACCTTTTCATCAGTACCTGTCAAAATCTTATCTAGGTCAGTCAATTTGTCATAGAATCCTTCTGTTTTGAGATCTTTATCATACCTTGAATGTATTTGCGCATATGAAAACCAATTCATCTTTATACCTTGTTCCTCTAGATTTTGCATCGATTTAAGTTCACCCTTTTCATTCAATATTTCCCCATATCTAACTGTTCGTTCCTTCTTGTATATTATAGGATAAGAAAATGCTCCTATAGTCAATAACCAGACTGGAATTTTCAAATAACATTGTCTTTTAGTCTTCTCCCAATTTAACCACAAAGACTCCCGTATATGGTGTCTTCTAAAATATTCCTGTGTTTTAGTCCCCTTGTACCATAAAAAAGCATGCTACCCCAACAACAAATCATGTCCTTCTAATGTCAACAATCTAGTATTTCTTAATGTTATCCATTCCTTGACCCACATCAAATTTGTAGCTTGGTAATACAACTCCCAATTAGGCAAACCAAATCCTCCTCTAATTCTAGCATCTTGCAAAAGTTTTAATTTTATTCTCGCTTTCTTACCTTGCCATATATATTTCAACACAATTTTATTTAAATCTTCAAAATAGTCTTTTCCAAGCCTAATTGGAATTGTTTGAAACAAATATAAAATTCTGGGTAATATATTCATCTTGTTTGTTGAAATTCTCCCTATTAATGACAGTTGTAGATTTTCCCATTTCACCAAGTCAAGAGCTATCTGCTGGTTAAGTTTAATATAATTGTTCTCTTTTAATGTACTAGATCTTGCTGTGAGATGTATCCCCAAATACTTAATCTTATTCGTGACTTGAATTTTCAATAGATCTGCCAATTCTTCCTTTTGTCTTGATAACATATTCTTTGTCAAAATCTTTGTCTTATCTTTATTAACTTTCAAGCCAGCCACCTTGCCATATGCCTCTATCTTTTCCAGCAATTTTGGTGCTGTTTCTAAAGGGTCTTCTAAGATAAAAACCAAATCGTCCGCAAAGGCTTGCAATTTAAATTCTTCCTTTTTAATTTTCATTCCTCTTATACTCTTTTCGTCTCTAATATTTCTATTTAACACTTCCAAAGTTAACACAAGTAGCAAAGGTGATAGTGGGCGCCCTTGTCTTGTTCCTTTTCTTATATTAATAGTCTGTCAATTCTCCCTCTATCATTACCTTTGCCGTTTACTTGTAGTATATGGCTTCTATTGCTTGAATAAATTTTCTGGCAAACCCCATCTGTTCCAACAATAACAACATGAATCACCAGTTCACATTATCAAATGCCTTTTGTGCATCCAGAAATATCAAAGCCATTTGCTTTTCAGGTATCCAAAATTACTCTCATATTATCTTTGATTTGTCTCTTTGGCAGAAATCCATTTTGATCAGAATGGATAAAGTTATTTAGATATTTTTTTAGTCTTTCTGCCAATATTGAAGCAAAAATGTTATAGTCTGCATTTAATAGGGAAATAGGTCTATAGTTCTTAATCTGCAATGGATCTCTTCTTTTGGAATGAGTGTAATATAGGCTTCTGACCATGATTGGCGTATCTTCTTCTTTAACATAACTTCATTCATAACTTCTAGCAATGGAAGATTCAACACTTCTTGTAATGTTTTATAAAATTCTGCCAGAAGTCCATCTGGGTCTGGTGCTTTTCCATTATTTTGCTTCTTAAGTGCTTCAGTTAACTCCATCATTGTTATATTGCTTTCTAGCATTTTTTCAGTCTTTTTAGGTATCTTGGGTAAATTAGCATTTTGTAAATACTGCTTAACTCTTTCCTCATCGATATTCTCTTGCTTATATAATTTCCCATAAAAATCTTGGATAATTTCCTTCTTTTCTTTGTTGCCATAGCAGACTTGACCTTGGTCATCTATTAATTGCAGTATTTTCCTTGATTCTTTCTCTTTTCTCAACTTATATGCTAACCATCTACCTGGTTTATTTGCATCCTCAAAGTAGTTCTGTTTAGCACATCTAATTTTCTGTGCTAATTCTTCTTTCTCTATTTGACCCATTTTGTGTTTAATTATATCCATTTTTAGCTTAATGTCCTTTTTCTGTGGCTTTTTCTGTAGCTCTTTTTCAAGTGTTTTATGCTCATCTTCTAAAACCTTAGTGGCTTGTCTTTTCCTAATATTCCTTTTCCTTGTATAATCTATTATCAAGCCTCTAGCATATACCTTCATTGTATCCC